CCCAAAATGTCACTGAGTGCCTGGAGAAGGTGACTCACAGAGATCTGAACCTGCAAATGCTTCAGGCAGAGATTGTTTGAGCTTTACAGAATCCCAAAAAACTTGAGGCTGGAAAAGCCCTCCCAGCCCCCCTTTTTGGTATTTATACTTTCAAATTGTCTTGTTTTGGGTACTTCTCACAGCTGTTCCATCCTATCCCATTCCATTCCATCCCATTCCATGTTATAATTCCACTCACCTGGGTTCCTCCTGCCTTTCCAGCCCTTTGGTTATGTGATGTATAAAACTTTTATCTCAAATCTCTACATAAAGATTTCTCTATATACATAAAATAAAATATAAATAATTCCCTCACAGGCTTTTACCTAACATTGGAACATTGGAAATACAAGAAAAGTAGCCAGAATCTCCCTTATTGACCAAATATTTCAAAAGGATTTGTTAAAAATGAAAATATTTCAACCAGACTTTCTCCAGCTTTCCTGTCAGAGGATGGATTTGGAGCCAAGTTGGATTTCTGAGGATCTTGTAACATTTTGCACTTTCTTGGTGCTTTCATTGCTTTCAGGTGCACAGAGCAGAGTCTGCAGGGCAGGGCTGGCTGGGGCTGGCCCAGGTGAGCCCTCTGTGCAGGTTTGACCTCTCAACCTCACCCAGCAGTGCCAGGACACTGCAAACACCTTTTAAATCATGTCTTGTGTGCATGAGTGAGGGGAGCAGGAAGAAGGAAAAGAGTGGATTAAGGATAAACATTAATCAAAAGAAATTAAAAATCCAAATATTGAGGGAGAGGAACCTCAGAGTCAAACCCTCCAGGACCCAGGGATGCAGGGATGGGAGGCAAAGCCTGGGATGTGCCAGAGCACACCTGGCACAGGTACCCAGCCCTTCCCTGCCCACCCTGGGGCACCCACACGTGCAGGAGGAGCCCAGGGCAGCTGGGGCTGCTCTGAGATTGCTGCCTGAGCCCTGGAGCAGGACAGGAACTCACCTTTCCTTTTCCACCTGCTCTTCTTGCCCTCCTTGGTGGCGCAGCCGTCGCTGCTGGAGCTGCTGTGCTCGGAGCTCTGCGAGTCTGAGTGGCCATCACTGCTCTCCTCAGAGCCCTCTGACAGCTCCTTCAGCCCATCTGGGATGTCCTTCTGCCAGGGGACACGACAGAGCCACAGCACGGTCAGCCAGGTGACAGGGACAGCCCCAGGGACAGCCCCAAGCAATCCCCTAAACCCCCCAGGCACCAGCCCCGACCCTTTAATGCCCCTCAGCTCCTCCAGTGCTGGCCCCAAAGCTCCTGTGAGCCCCTGGAAATGCTGGATGGAGGTGACAAACCCTGAGCTCTGTCCCCACTGTGATTCCTCAGCTGCCCTTCCTGAATTCCCTGATCACCAAATTAAACACAAGGGATGGAGGGACAGGACACAGGGAATGGCTGCCAGTGCCCCAGGGCAGGGCTGGATGGGATCTTGGGCAGGAATTGTTCCCTGGCAGGGGGGGCAGGGCTGGCACAGGGTGCCCAGAGCAGCTGTGGCTGCCCCTGGATCCCTGGCAGTGCCCAAGGCCAGGCTGGACATTCCTGGCACACTGGGAGGTGTCCCTGCCATGGCAGGGGTGGCACTGGGGGTGGGATTTGGGTCCCTTCCCACCCAAGCCAGTCTGGGATTTGATGATTTGATGATTTTGATGATTGATTTAATGATTGATTTGATGATTTGCTGCTGTTCCCAGTCCCTCCAGCCCGTGGATCACTGGGATCACTGGGATCCCTCCCATTCCAGGGATCTCCAGGCTGGCAGCAGAGCCCTGCCAGGGCCCTGAGCTGTGCCCAGACAGCAAATCCCAATAAAAGCTGCCCCAGGGCAGGGTGGCAGCTCTGACCAAGCACCTCAAGGACTCCAGAGCCAATTTGGGAGCTGCCCCAGGAATGAAACCTTGGCAGGAGAATCTTTACTACAGCTCTACTACAGCTCTACTACAGCTTTCCTCCCCTGCCATCTGCACTGCTCCTCATTCCCTGTTTCACAGCTCCTCGCTGGTTTTTATTTTGTTTGCCCAGGTTTGCCCATCTCCTGAGAGCTGCCCCAAAGCTGGCACTGCCCCAAAGCTGGCACTGCCCCAGCCTGGCACTAAATGTTTGTGGTTCCAAGCAGTCACCAAATCCCAGGCAAGTCTGAAATGGAATTTGTATTTTCACACCCCAAACTCGTGTGAGCTTTAAATTCAATGGAGCCACCGTGTTCCCATGGCACCCAGCACTTAGGGACCCCAAACTGGGAACAGGAACCCCAAACTGGGAACAGGGACCCCAAACTGGGAACAGGGACCCCAAACTGGGCACAGGGACCCCAAACTGGGCACAGGAACCCCAAACTGGGAACAGGGATCCCAAACTGGGAACAGGGACCCCAAATTTTGAACAGGAACCCCCTTGGAGCATCCCCCTGTTCTGTAAATCAGGGAAGAATTTCCCATTTTCCCTTGGGACAATCCCCCCAGGTGAATCCACCCCCCCATTCCCAGGGCTGGGAATACCAGGAGCAGGACAGGGATCAGGGGTTAGGATTAGGGATTAGGGATCAGGGATTGGGGTTAGGGATAGGGATTGGGATTAGGGGTTAGGGATCAGGATCAGGGATTGGGATCAGGGGTTAGGGATTAGGGATTGGGATTAGAGATTGGGATTAGGGGTTAGGGATTGGGATTAGGGATCAGGATCAGGGATAGGGATTAGGGATCAGGGCAGCATTTTCCCCACATGCAGCACAAAGCCCACAAAGCCCCCATGCAAAGCCAGCCCCAGACAGGCAGCAGGGACAGGGACAGAGCTCCCACGGGCTCCCAGCACTGGTTACTCCGGGGTTACTCCAGGGTTACTCCCAGGAGCAGGTGTGGGATCAGGGATGGCAGGGCAGCAGCTGGGAGTGTGGTCTTACCTTCTGCAGGTGGAGTGCAGCCCAAAAAAAGGAGAGAAAAACCCCTTTAACAACTTCACAGAGCAATGGAGTCGTCACCAAGCCACCCCAAACCCCCCCAGCCACGGGCACAGCCCAAAGGGACCCCAGGGCAGGGGACAGAACCTGCCAGGGGCTCCCAGGGCACCCCACGGCCACCTGCACCTGGCAGGGAACCCTGGGCAAGGCCTGGGATGTTCCCCACGGGGACACACCTTGGAGTGGGAATTTACTCACTCCTTACACCCCAGCACTGAACCCCAAACTCCTGGGGCTCCATGGAGCTTCCACCCCCCAGGAATGATCCATGGGCTCCCAAAAATGTAAATTAGTGCACATCTGGAATGTTCCCCATGGGGAAACACCTTGGAGTAGGAATTTACTCACTCCTTACCCCCCCAGCCCTACTCCCAGGGAGCACAGCAGCCCTGAACCCCAAATTCCCAGAGGTTCCATGGAGCAGGAAATTCCTTAGCCCACAGACTCCCCAAAAATATAAATTAGTGCACATCTGGAATGTTCCCTATGTGTAGACACCGTGGAGTAGGAATTTACTCACTCCTTACCCCCCCCAGCCCTGCACCCCAAACTCCTGGGGCTCCATGGAGCTTCCTTAGCCCACGGGCTCCCCAAAAATGTCACCAGAGGGGAACCAGCAGCTCCTCACCCCAGAGCAGCAGTCACAAGAGAAGCTCCTTCCTCCAAGTTTTTTGGGGCCCAGAGTTCAAATTTAACTTAATTTTCAATTTTAAAATTTAACTTAACTTTAATTTTTTGGGATCCTCTCTGTATTTCTGCTACAGAACCACAAGGCAGCCTGTACTGAAGAGAAACCCCAAATCCAGGGGGAGTTTTTATTATTTTTTTATTCTTTTGGATGATTATTTTTTGATGATTTTTTGATGATTTTTTTAGCTCTGGTGTTTTCTGAGCTCTGAGGTTCCTCACCAACAGAGGAAGCAGCAGGAATCAAATTTTCTATGTGAGAATCTTGAACTGAGGCTGCTCTGTTTCTCCCCTGGGTAATTCTGACTTTAGCTTGGGTCAGACTGACCATTCACTTGATTTTTAAAGAAGAAATTAAAACCACACACTTTTCTCCTTGCACCACTGAACACCCTCCTGCACAGCAGGAAAACTCCTCTGCAATTTTAGAGCAAAAAACTGCTGCAAGCAGGCTGGGATGAGAGAAGGGGAAGGAATATTCTGTCAGTTTGGGATTTCAGCCTTGGTATGCACAGAGTCACCTGAGCAGCTCTGAGTATTAAATACAATAAATAATTGTATTTAATCCTCCCTGCCAGCGGCAGCAACCCAGCCTTTAATTCCTGTTGAACTATTCCATTTCAAACCAACATTTTACCTTACATTTATTTATTATTTATGGATTCTACCAACTCATCTCTGTGCTCTGAGTGCTTCAGAACCAAGTCCTTGTCCCCAGTGCCACTCCAGCTCTCCTGGAGCCCCTCCAGGGGCCCTGAGCTCTCCCTGGATCCTTCTCCTCTGCAGGGAAAAGGGGATTTGTTGGAAGCCTTTTCCTCGTGGGATGGTTCAGTGTTTGCCTCGGGGTTCCTTGGGGTTGTGGCTGCAGCAGGGAGGGCTCCAGGGAGTCCCTGCAGCTCCCAGGGGGGTTTGGCTTTTTCTGCAGCACCTGGAGAGAGCCCAGAGGAGACCCCAGGGCTGGAGCCCCAATCCCAGGGAACCCCGAGGCAAACAC